ATAATACCCTTCCATCTTGCTATGGGGGATATTCACACAATCACAGAATATGCTGAGTTGGAAGGGACCCACAAGGATCGTAAGGTCTGGCTCCAAAGAGAATGGCCCATATAGGGATTGAACCCACAACCTTGACATTATTAGCACCAGGCTCTAACCAACTGAGCTAGTCTTAGGGTCATTGAGTACAACTCCTGGCCCTGCACAGGACTATCCCCAAGAGTCACACCATGTGCCTGAGCTTTAAGAAGCCAAATGCTTCTTGAACTCTGTCAAGCTTGGTGCTGTGACCACTTCCCTGGGGAGCCTGTTCCAGTGCCCAACCACCCTCTGGGTGAGAAACCTTTTTCTAATATCCCACCTAAACCTCCCCTGTCATAACTTCAGGCCATTCCGTCAGATCCTGTCACTGATCACCACAGAGAAGAGATCAGTGCCTGCCCCTCTTCTTCCTCTCATGAGGAAGTCGTAGACTGCAATGAGGTCTCCCCTCAGTCTTCTCCAGACTTAACAGACCAAGTGACCTCAGCCACTCCTCATATGGCTTCCCCTCAAGGCCCTTCCCCATCTTCGTTGCCTTCTTTGGACACTCTAAGAGCTTAATACCTTTATTATAATGTGGCACCCAAAACTGCACACAATATTCAAGGTGAGGCTGCACCAGTGCAGAGCAGAGCAGGACAATCCTCTCCCTCAACTAGCTGGTGATGCTGTGCCTGATGCCCCCGAAGACATGCAATTCAGAGACCTTTGCTCTAGTATCCAATGATATGGTTACACTTTTCCTGTGGAAACCTTATTCAGAAGGAGGAAGTTTGCTCTGGGACTAAAGAACTAATATCCTATCAAAAATTAAATTCCTTTAAGGAAGGAGGGTCTCAGGTTTTTTTGTGGGAACGACAGCCTCATAAGAATTTCTTGACATTTTAAAGATTGATATACTTGGATGCAAACCTTTGGCTGTCCAAAAATTAGGTTTGTGTAAGTAAAAGTAAAGTAGCAAAAACATGTCCTCATAGTTACCAAGGAGTAGAGACTCCATACTTGTATGTTCTCCCTAACTACTACGTTGTGTGAGAGTCTCAATCACTAGGCTACACATGCCTGGCATCCCATTCCTCACCTATTTAATGCATGATGTGCCCGTAGTGCTGTACACCGTAGACTACCAGTGTTTTTCCCTAATATGCTCCCCAATGCTCACATGTTTTTGGCCACTGACTGCAGTGTTTTCTGGAGCCACTATCTCCTTTTAGTTTGTCAGTTATTTTTTACGCTTCAGAATGCACTCAACTTCCTGTGCACGCATCCAGAATGCATTGTCTTCTGCAAAGGTATATGTTTACTGTTTTGTTAGCTCAGTCACTTTGGTTCCTCCAAGATGAGAGTATTTATTGCTTGGAGTGATTTCTGTGTTTCAAATTCATTCATCCATAATGATGTGTGTAAAGTGTTGGATGGAAGACAATGAATTTTTGGGGACTGGGCTCATTAAGGACTGTATGCCATTTCCAATAGTTTTGTTTTATCTTTGTGTAGAATAAAATAATTGCTCTGTAACACAAAGCAACTTGTCTGTTACCATGTTCCCTCCTCAGTTTTCTGTTTTCTTGCACACAGTTCGGGGGGAAATATTATCATAGAATCACAGAATGGTTTGAGTTGGAGGAACCTTAAAGATTCTCTAGTTCCAACCCCCCTGCCATGGACAGGGACACCTTCCACTAGACCAGCTGGCTCAAAGCCCCACTCAGCCTAGCTGGATCTCAGATACATGTGTAAGTATAATAATATACTTGATACTTTCAGCCAAGCAGACAGTGGTAACAACATCCAGTGGAAGCTGAAAATATTAATTTTCAGATTGGCAGTAAAGGGTGATTGTCTCCTAAAACAAGTTTTATCTTAGGCTGTGAGCTATATATTGATTCTTCAGTGCACATTTAAAAAAAGTATTGGATATTCTTCTAAAAGTTATGCTCTATTTAACTCAAAGTGCTGTGTACGCTGTTAGGCTGAAGGTTACACTTACAAGCAGTGGAACAGATGGTGTATTTGACCCACTGAAACAAAATGCAGTTTGATACAGTGAAATCCTTAAATCTAGAAGCAATGGATGTAGACCTATAAGCAGAGAAACTGAATTCTGCAACATTTAGCTAAAGGATTGAGTTCAGTGAACAACAGCTGAAAGTGTAATGCCAGAGGATGTAAAAGTGAAAAAGGCTAATTTCATTCCTGAATGTGCCAAGAGAGTAATCAGCAGTAGTTAAAAGGTAATTTGCATCCAGTGATTAGTATTTTAAGCCAGCTAGTAAGATGCTGCATATAATGGTGTTTTACATTTTGATAAGGAAGTTGAAAATGTGATAGGCTGAATGAAATGATAAATAGTTTGAAAACAAGAGATAACTAAAGAGATTGTTTAGTTTACTGAAAATGGTTTAAAAAAACCCATTGCAGTTTATAGCTTCCTTACAATGACAAAATATTAGGTACTGAGTGGCATTTTAATTTAATGGAAAAAAAAGACATAAGAAGCAATGGAGAGAAATTAAAGCCTGAAGAATTCAAATCAGAAATGAGGCTCAAATTTCTGACTGTGAAAGTCTCAATTTTTTATACCTTCAGGTAAAACCTGGTCTCATTATTTCTGCCTTTCCTTACATGCCAATTCTTGAACTCCAGTCTCATTTTCCTCCTTTCATTTGAACTGTCTCCAGTTTGTTTTTCTTCTTTCCTAAATGTAATTCCAGATTTAGAACTCAGCAGCAATGGAAGGGAACTGGAATGGAAAGGAATGCTCATTGCAGGGCGGTTGGACCAGATGACCTTTAAAGGTCACTTCCAACACAAACTATTCTATGATTGTATGATTCTAATATGTGCCTGTCTCATCTTAAAAACACTCTTATAGTTCTTCCCAGTATTTCTATTAATGACTTCGATGATGCTCATTACATTTTTGTTTGATATGAAGCTGGGAAGGACTGGCAGTGCACTGGAAGGCAGTCTAATTTTAGCTTATACAGTAGCATCACATCACTGCAAAACAGGTAAACATCATACTAAGATGTTTAAAAATAGTATCCTAAGATAGAAAAGAAACATTGCCAAGTTCTGAGAAAACGCTATTACAAAGAGCAAGGAGAATTTTTGTTCACTCAATACTCAGGAGAAAAATTGAAGTAAAGGAGATTTAGCTTTGGCAATGGGGAAAACTGCCCTCACAGTGATAATAAGGAAGCTGGGAATAGATTGCCCAGTTAGATTGTAGTTTCCATGATTTGAGATTTATATCAGAAATAAAATAACTTTTGTTGATCCTAATTCAGGTCGTGAAAGTCAACCAGATGACCCGTTGAAGTCTTTTCCACTTTTAGGATTCTATTATTAGTTCCATGAAATTAAAAAAAATATTTGCAATAAAAGTGATAAAAGCTGCAGTTAAAATAGGAAAATACCAGTTTTTAATCAAAGCAAAATATCTTTCATGTGTATTGATTAATAAAAAGATTATTTCACAATAACCCAATTATTCAAAATATTCAAGCAGTTTTAGTGTCTGAATTCCCTTTAAAAATCCATTGAAGTTCACTATTCTTCTTTTAGGGGCAGAATATTTTAAGAATGGAATAACAGACTGCAAGTTAGTCTTCACGCAGCTGATAGAACAACAAGTCTAGAAAGAATCGTATACTTTGCTTTCAAATTCAGTAATGTCTTATAGGTTGGTCTTGACAAATCTTTGTTTATATCCAAATGTCAGCTCCTTTATGATTTTGTGATACTACCCATTACATTTGTAACAAATCAGGATTTTCCTGGTTTGAAAAGTCTGGAAGAAATATAATTCTTCATGATTTTTATTTTCAGTATACATTTCAGTAGATAATCCCTGGCTCCTCTTTTGCTTGAGTATCATTCTTTTGACATCTTCAGTAGTACTGTTCTTCAGTCTAATTAACATTTTTAATCTTTTCCAGATATATTATCAGAAATACTCTTTCACTATCAGTTTCAGTGAGTGAAGGATCAAGGCTCCACTACCTCTGTGATTACATTGCTTAGATATACACAGAACAGATTTGCTTTAATTTTTTTTTTAATCTGTGAAGCTCAAACTTTAATGAATATTTTTGTAAATTATGAAAACAGTTCTTTTTCAAAATTATGTCATACTATGTACAAAGGAAAAAACAGGACAGAAACTAGATCTGTGACTATTGCCATTTTCTATAAGCACTGTCATTTAATTCCTTATAAAGATGCTATTTCTGGCACCGCAGACATTCTTTTTCCCACAAAA